AGGCCGCTGAGCTCCTCGCTGTTTCTGGAGGCTAGAAAAGAGAGGCAGATCTCAGATGCCATGAGGAGCGTTTGCATGATTTCCCTGCTGCCATCTTGCCTGAGAGAATTTCCAGCCTTGTCCCTAGAAGTGGCTTTGAAGCAATGTCAGCGAGTTCTTCCAGAGAGCCAGCAGCGGAGACCGACAGCCCGCTTGGGAATGATCTCTGTGCACGATCCCTGTGGAGCGGGCACAGTCTGTGCCCCTCAAAAAGTGACGTTAGCAGCCAGTGCGGAGGACACAGGCAGACCCTCGACTGTCACAGCTCTGTTTGAGGTCCCCGGACACTGCCCAGGGCTCCGAGAGCAGATTCCTCCAGCGTTACACCCCAGAAGTGGGAGCCACAAGTCCTGGTGGCACGGGGACACAGAGAGCAGTGACAAACAGTCCCTCCTTTTGCTCAGCACACACACAGAGGTGTGTGGTGTGAAGGCAGATGGACTCCAGGACCCTTCCAGGACCCCCCCAACAACCCAGACCTGGGCTCACCACCTGGAGTGACAGTGGTTTAACGAGGCTGGCATCATCCCTCCTCTCACCTGTGTACAGACCTCAGACTAACACAGAGCTTGCTCAGAACCAAGCTCAACGACCCCAGGCGATGTGACTCTGGGGCCAGCACCTCCCTTGTCTGGGACAATATATACAGCAGCCCTCTGCCAACCTGATTTTTTGCACAGAAACCACCTACAGCGATCTCACAGGACACAGATTTGGGGCAGAAGCCTGAGAAATCACTGTCATGGGAGTAATGAGAAGCTGGAGACAGACCAGAGCATCGTAACCTCTTTCCTCACGACAACATACTTCCTGCAAATATCTTTGGTCCAGGTCTGAAAGCACCCACCCAGCGAAACCTTCGCCATGTGAGCAGTTACCCTCACTACCCAAACCCCGGATTTCCAAAAATCACTCTTTAGACTTGGTTTGAGTACCTGCCATGTAGACATTTTTCCTTGATTCAACCTCTGTAATTTGGACGCTGTCAAGTCTCGAGCCGTGCAGGATCCACGGGGCTCTGGCCGAAGCAGTCGCAATTTTAGCCCAAGGTTGCCCAGCAGCATTTTCTGTAGCTATGGCACTCAGAGGTTTGATAATATCTTTTTGAAAGAGATGTAAAGCAACTGTAAAACGCAGGAGTCAAGAAATCCACAAAATTAAGGTATTTCACAAAGATGCCTCATAAAGCTAAAGGTGACCTACTAAACCCGTAAGAAATCCAACAATGACTAAATAAAACCACTCCTTCCAACACATCCATCAAGGATCGACAAGAAGCCATTTAAAATCTAGCAAAATGCACGGCAAGCTGGGAATCAAGGTGTTCATTTGCAATGAAAAAGAAGAAGAAAACTTGCAATAACATGTTGCATTTCCTTTCTGGTAGTTTCAAAGTATTTCACAAGAGGTGACAAAGCAACTGCGAGGCTTTTCTAGAAGCAGGCAGACGTTAAGTTTGGAGAACTGAGGTGCTTCATGATATATCCTGAACAGAGCTTTTTATTTCTAATCCTGGGAGTTATTTGAGGGAACACTGTTCCAACCACAATTAGGGTTTTTGTTTGTATGACTAAGAGCTCACAAATAAGTTCAAAGCCACTGTGACAAGCCTAAATCGACTCATTCCCTTACAAGGTTTTTGCTGTCAAGTCCACGCCTTTCCAAGCCACCACAATCGGTGTCGACGCTTGTCTCACGCCTTTCTCCAGCCCCTGCCACACACAGGCAGTCACTGAGGGCTTGGCTGGAGGGGACTGGCACTCCTCTCCTCATTTGACACCCAGGAAGAAGGGGAAGCTGGAGATGCTTGACGCAAGGACTACATTGAGAAATTCAAGCTCAGAAACGCGTTCCCTTACCAGAGTCCTCTGCTGACACCTGCCAGACCTGGATGGAGCTGTCTGGTGGTCCGCTCGTCACCAGCAAGCTGAGGAAACAAAAACAACCCCACAAAACTCTTCAGGAGGAGAAAACAACCTTTTTTCCCCAGCCTGGGGCAGGCTGGTTTGTCACTCCTCCTGTGCCCAGGAGCTCCTGCCTCTGCTCGGAGCAGAGAAGGGGCCGTAAGGACCGAAAAGCCAGGACTCCTCCTGCCAGCGTGCTCTACACAGCCCAGGCAAACACAGTTCCAGGCAACGACATTTAATTTGCACATTTTCCAAAAGCACTGGACTAGGAATGGTGCAAAGAGCCCCAAAGTAGCAACGGGAGCTTGTGTAGGAGGAGAGAGCTGAAGGAGTGAAATGAATCAGCCAGAGGGAAGTGTGTTTGCTTGGTCTGCGATCCACAGCAGGAAGAAAAACAACCTTCTGAACCTGCATACGCAGGGACTTCCACTGGTAACCTGCTCTGCCTGCTGAGCACCTCCATGCTGCGCCACGTGCAGAAGGAAAAGGCAGAGCAAGGAAGCTCTGCAGGCTCCCGTTGCACAGAAGTGGGGCAGGGAGGGATCCCTGGGGAGCCAGCAGCCCCTGCAGCTCACTTCTGGAATAAGCTGAGGATTCATGTTATCCAGCAGCAGCTTCAGTTCCCCTGACACCTGCCTCTCAAGACACACCACTGCAGCTTTCGGTATCGCAGCAGTGGGGTGCACCCCATTTTGCTGAGCACCCCAATAGACGGCTCCTCTCCGAACACCAAGAGAGGGTTCTGGGAGGACCACTACGTGCCACTGGTCAGCAATTCCCAACCCAGACTCACGCTGCTCTGAGCTGGCAGGATTGAGCAGCTGGGTTGGGAAGCAGGCAAGGAAAAGGAGCTCTCCATCAGTGGACAAGCCCCCTCTCCATCTCCAGTACACCCTGGAAGGATGCCACGGCCGTACCTGGTGCCCGGCACATGTTTCAGGC